ATATAAACCTTTAACAACCAGCCTAACAGCTGCAGAAAACTGCTGCACAGATTTATAACATTGGTTTGGTTTTACTTTACTTAATTTGTTGTTTCTTTTATTTCTCTACACTTGAGGTCTGACAATAAATAAACCATCTGAATCTGTAAACTGCTTATTAAAAACTAATCCAACATCTGAGTTTAAAATAATCCTGATTCATACAAAATAATCTGAAGCGAAGGAAGCAGATTAAGCAGTATTTATCTATAGAAACAGCAACTGTTCTTCTGCGCCCCCTGCTGGCTGTTAGACAAGCTGCAACAGATTCTTAAACTTCCTACTCGATGAATAAATAAGACACAAGTTTAAAAACGTGCTGAAACAGAGACGTCCCAGGAGGACAGTGTCCCTCCTGCTGTCCTCATGTTTGAACTAAAGCTGATAAAAACCTCTAAATGATGAAGTCCTGTTAGTAAATATTAGATCCAGTTCCTCTGCTCTCTGTTCAAACCTAAAAACACTAAAATCTTTTATTTGAGACGTAACATTGTTAATAATTTAAAAGGTCCTAAAACCTGCTGACCCAGAACTGGAGTTTCAGTAGTKCTGAGGTTCTGCAGCAGAATAAGAACAGATTCGCCTCTAATCCGTAAAGTGACAGTGCTGGACTGAGTTCAGGGTTAATCCCTCTCGTTTGTGGCTTCTGTCAAATAAAAGCCCAAATCTAAACAGATGAACTATTAATGAGACGTGAAGATCTAAAGTTACATCATGCAGCCAAACATCAAATCACTAAATATTTCATCAAAAGCTAAAATCCTCTAATTTACCTAAAAATACCTTAAAAGTATTTTCTATTCAAACCTCACAGAGTTAGAAACACTGCAGCTAAAGAGGGTTTCTGGTTTCCTCTCTCCCGTTACGGTTTCAGCAGCATCTTCATCTGATACGGTCCAGTTCTGACCCGACCGGCAGCAACYGGGCTTTTATTCTGAAGGTTCACATGCCTTCCTCTCTCGTGTTCGTTTCATCAAACCAAGCCGAGCTCCCAGAACCAAGAAAAGGTGGGAGTTCCTGCCGWGACGCCGCCCACTGGAGCCAGGTGAGGGTTCCTCTGTGAGGAAGAGGAGGAGGAGGAAGGTCAGTGGATGTCCCGACACGTGGGCAGGTTGACGAACATGAAGACGTTAAACTCRATGAGGACGGAGAAGCAGAGGAAGACGGCGTACAAGAAGAGGCAGGTCAGACCCAGCCTGCGGTCCAGAGTCCACTTGTTCAGATGGACCCCGAGGACCTGAGGACAGGAGAGACACGTCCCACAAACCGTCAATCGTTTAACTTTGCTTTGGAGGTTSTGACCTTCATCCTGCAGCTTTTATTTGACCAGGAGTTGGATCTGAACACGGTTAAACTTACAGTGAAGAAAACCGAAGCCAGTAGAAGTCCCACAGAGAATATGAGTCCTCTGCTGTTCAGATGGACCTGACGAGACAAAGAGTTCAAACTCACACAGATCAGGGGTCAGATTYATAAAGGATTGTGTGGAAACCATWCTAAAAGAGAATGTACGGCCAAAAACACTTCAGATTTATAAAACCGTGCGTACGCATGTTTCTGCACCTTTATAGATCACAGCTGCACCTCAGAGTTTGGACCAAGGTCCCGCCTCAGGTTCGTCTACACGCCCACACTCAACCACAAACAGTCAACCCAGGCAAAAAAATATATACTAAAGTATATTTTAAAT